GGGTTTGTAGGTCCCCTCGGCGGCCCCAGAACCCGAAGTCCAAGGAAAAGAACCTGCTGGGCCCGTCAGGGCCCCTCGCAGGCGCCCTGTCTGGCTTGTAGTTGTGAGAAATCTGACAGGGGCATGCGGGCGGCAGAGGTGGTCACCTCTCTACTGCTGTTGACCTCGTACTCGTGTGTCTGGACCTGCCCCCGCTGCACTCGACGCACCTGTCGTTGGAGAAGCGATGCGGTATCTTCTGTTCGAAGCGCTGCAGCTCCTTCGTCGTCATCCTCTCGTTCAGACGGCTGGTCTTCCTCATCCGCAGATGGTGGTCGACGGGGCAGATCCTCTTCCACCAGAGGTAGCATTCCCGCATTCGGTGCTGGCTGCGGTACACCTGGCTCAGGTCCAGGTTGGATTTCTGGGGGTACATGGTGGTCGAACCCGTCCAGGCCTGGTCCCCCAACTGCTCGGTCCAGACGGTCCCGTGCCACGCGTAGTGCCTCTTGTGCCAGACGCACCTCCATCCGCCATTCATCCACTGAGTTCTGGCCAAGGACAGCCATGGATCGGGCATGCTGGCGTCGTCGTGATAGCCCTCTCGTCCATATCTGAGCACATAGTTCACGCGCAGCACGCATGAGCTCAGGGAAAGTGTCGTACCTCCTGTAGGGGATCGGTATTGTCTGAAATATCTGAGTCGCGTACGGTACGCAGTAGATCATCCAGTCGCGCCTCGCAAAGTCATCGCTGTACAGGTAGTGCTCGATGCTCCACGCCGCCGCTTGATCACGGACTGCCGTTATCAGACTGCCGTGGACGTGCCGTTCAGCCTGTTGTTCAATCGTCTCAGGGCGATTTCCTGGCGGTGCCTGGCCGTTCACGCACATTCCGTCGGTGCGAAGGGCGTGAACTGTTATCTGGTACAGGCTGGTCGAGTCGCCGCCCTGCTCTTCCTGGTTCTGCATCTCCTGGTTGGCCGTGGCAAACCTGCCAAAGCCTAGCTGTCGCATTCCTCCCTGGGGCACGGGGTGTGCCTCTGGGCCATCGACCTGGGGTTGCGCCTCGATCTCCATCGGCCCTGGCTCGGTCTCATCTGGAACATGGACCTCGTGTGCAGGAACAGGTACTTCGGGCGCTTCTGTAGCAGGTACCCCATGTGCTGGATGGGGTAGTCTTCCTCCTCGTCTGGCTGTCTCGATGGCGCTCACCGAGAGTTCTTCACCCCTTCGAATGCGATCCTCAACGCGGGGCTGACGATGTGCCTGATGGGCCTGGAGTGTCAAATATCTCCTAGCTCTCGTCACCCTCGCCATTTGTTCAATCATGTAGTTAGCCCATTCACCAGGGTTGCGTGCGAGCAATGTCGAGAGCCTCTGCTGGCTGCCGTATCGCGCAATTCCCCAACTGCGCCACACCCCACTGCAGATCTCGATCGCAGCATTATTGCATTTGATCCCATCTCATCATCGTCGTCATGACAACGTGATTACGAACTGCAGGCACGCACCAATCATTCCAATCCTGTCGTGCTGCCTCGATGGTCCAGAGGAAAGCTTCTGCATTCCACGCATCAACTGTGGATCGTAGACCGTTCTCGATCGGGCCCTGAGGACGGTAGTAGGCGTTGTCGTCCGAGCTGGTCGTGACAACGCTGGAAGCTTCACGGAGGCTCTGCAACTGACCCATGAGAGCTTGTCCGTCATCATCTAAGGTATTAATCGACCTTCCCCAGTCGATGTGAACCTGCTCGCTGTTGTCCAACATGGCCATGCCGAGCATGATGGTATTAGGGTTCTCCTCTTTTCCCATGGGAGCGCCGTGTATTGAGGTAGCCAGAGGTCCGTGCCCTTCACGTACCATCCTCCAGCCTCCTTCGTTTGTGCTGCTCACGCTGCCGTCCTCGTTCCTGCAGCTGCCGCTGCCGCCGCACCCGCATCCACTGGCATTCCCTCTGGCTGAGATGGTGGCTAGTGGTACTTGTGCGCAGCGGGATTGGGGTCGCCCTCGGCGGAGCGGACTGGGCGGCGGGCTGTGGGGTACGGCTCCGATGTCGTGGTTCCCTTCCCCGTCGACTTGCCTCCGAATGGCGCCACCAAGTTGCTGAACTGGTCCGATCCTGGCCCAGGTAACCGTGGTGACTCCTGGGTCGGTCCCGCGGGCTGTGTCGGTGCCAGGTGGGCGGGATCCACCCAGGGGGTCTCCTCCGCAGAGTTGGCTCCCGCTCCCGCTGCCTTGGGCTGCGGCGGTGGTGTCCTGTGCGCGCCTCCCACCACCTCCCACTGAACCGTCTTGGGGTCCCTCACGCCTGGTCCCAGAGCTCCCTTGACCGCCTTCTGTGCTGCTGCCGCCGCCGCTTCCAGGTCTGGAAGACCCACCGCTGCTGCCGCTGCAGCTGGGGAGAGCTCCGCACCGCTCCACTGAGGTGCCGTCTGTGCCAGTGGCACCGGTGGCTGCGGCACAGCTGCAACCGGCGCTGGCGCGGTAAACCCCATCGCCTCCAGGGTTGGCGGCTGCCTTGGAAGGGGCCCCGAGGGCGGCATCGGCGGTGCCGCATAGCCGATGGGGGCTCTGGGCTGCGGAGGTGTCGGGCAGGGCCCGACTGGCGGGCACGGGCCGCCAGGGTACTGCTGCATGTACTCCTGCATCTTCACCATCTGGTAGACCATCTGCTGGTTCTGCAACTGGAGCTGCGCGTATGCTGTCGCACCGTTGCGATTCTGCTCCTGCAGAGTTGCAATCGTCTGGGCTGCCGCTGTATTTCTCGAGATTGTTCCCGAGGTGTCCATTCCTGAGGTAGTTGCCTCCGCACCTGGAAGAATGTCCCTGAGCTCGACTGCAATCTTGGATTCGACCTCTGCCAGGGCTGTCTTGGTGTCCGCAATGTCGTCCTCGAGCTCCTGAACTTGGGTCTCCAGCAGGACGATGCGGCATTTTGTGTTCTTCAGGTCCTCCATTTTGGCCGTCAAGCGTGCCATGTGCTCGGCTTTCACCTCGCTCAGAGGCTTGAGCTGGTCCAGGGAGTACAGAAGCATGCCCATCTCCTCCTTCAGCTCCTCGTCCGACTTCCTTGCTCTGACCGCCTGTACTGCCAAGCGAGCAAGCACCATCATTCGAGTCTTCACTCGATCTCGGAATTGGCTGTGCATGCGACGGTCTTCTGGAGGTTCCCATTTGCTCCAATCCTCGTGCGACTCGGCAATATGCTTCAGGGCGGGGACCACTCTCTCGATGAGCTTGCGAGCTGCTTTGTCCAGGCCGTCGCGGTCGGGCTTGCGCTCCTGCTGGGAGCGGTCTCGCCCTGGCCTCTGCTTGGGCGCGGGGTTGTTGACTCCCCAGTGCCCCTTGTGGCGAGAAACGCTTCTGCTCTGTCTCCGCCGCTTGTCGAAAGAGGATCCACATGATGAGCACTCCCACTGCCATCCTTGTTGGTGGAGTCCGCATCTGCATGTCCATCCTGGGGCTCCTGTAGTCATCGGTTCCGCGCTTGGATGCTGTTGAGCGCTGTGGTGCCCTTGCAGAAGCTTCACAGCCTGATGCACCCGCAGAAGAGTTCGGGCGTCTGCTCGTTGTCGGCGCCGTCGTCGGTGCCAGGCTGGTTCATGCTGCTTGGAGCGGGAACGGCTCGCCGAAATGTCTGAATCTGAAATTGTAACTGTAATGTTATCAGTCGTGGCTGGCGTGCGAAAGCCAACACACGTGAGGTCAGAGCTCCTGCGGGCGGCCTCCCTAGGCGCCCACTCGAACCCAAACCTTCTCCTCCTCCTCCTCGTTCCCTCGATCCAGATCCTTCTCCTGGATCCTCCTCCTCCTCCTCCTCCTCCTCCTCCTCGACCCCCGATCTCCTCGATCGAGGTCGAGGGTCGCTGGTCCCGTGGAGGCGCGATGGCACGAGGAGGAGGAGGAGGAGGAGGAGGAGGAGGAGGAGGAGGAGGAGGAGGAGGAGGAGGAGGAGGAGGAGGAGGAGGAGAGACGCTCTCCAGGCCTTCCCCGGAGGCTGACGCACCTCGGCCTGTGGGTGCCCTCCCCGCCCCCCTCCTCCCTCCTCCGCGGCCGCCTTCCGCGCTCCTCCCTCCTCCCTCCTCCTCCCCCCCCCCTCCTCCCTCCTCCCCTCCTCCTCCCCCTCCTCCTCCCTCCTCCTCCCGCCCCTCTCCGCCTCTCCCTCCTCCTCCCTCCCCCCCCGTGGCAGCCGGACGGTTGGCGCCCGCCGCTCGCCGGCCCGCGGGAAGCGCGCGTGCGCGCCCTGCCTCTGCCGCGCTGCGACGTGCGAGGAGGCAGACAGCTCCTCGAGAGGCCGGAGGGCCCCCGAGACGCCCCGCCGCCTTCTGAGGAGGCCTGCTCCGTCCTCCTCCTCCTCCTCCTCCTCCTCCTCCTCCTCCTCCCTGCTCCTCCTCCTCCTCCTCCTCTCCTCCTCCTCCTCCTCCCTCCTCCTCCTCCGCCTCCTCCTCCTCCTCCTCCGCCTCCTCCTCCTCCTCCTCCGCCTCCTCCTCCTCCGCCTCCTCCTCCTCCTCCTCCCTGCTCCTCCTCCCTGCTCCTCCTCCTCCTCCTCCTCCTCCTCCTCCTCCTCCCTGCTCCTCCTCCTGAGGTGGCCTGCTCCTTCCGAGGAGGCCTGCTCCTTCCGAGGAGCGCCGCCGGAGAGACCGTCGGGGCTCCGCGCGGGCCTCCTCGGATCGGCGCCGGCCCCCGCCCCCCTGGCGGGGTCTCCGGCGCCGCCCCCCCGGGCTCTTCGCTCCAGGGACCCAGACCTCCTCGAGTCATGAAAAAATCACGACGGGAGGTTTTTCGCTATTTTCGGCCTCTGAGGGCCCTTACCGGGCCTCGGGAGCGTCAAAAAACGACTCGGGATGAAAAACCGGTCCCGGGGAATGGGTCTGGACCTCTGGGGGTCGCGTCATGAAAAAATCATGACGTCGGGGGTCTGGGGAGGGGGTCAGGCACAGGTCCGAGCAGGTCCGCGCGTGGAGCTCCGAAAGTTTGCGCTCGTGCCGCTGTTTCTTCCTCCGTACGTCTACACGCAGGACCCGGTGCAGGACTCGTACGTGAAGTACCCGTCGTTTGGCGTCTTCGAGGATCTGTTCATCATCAAGTGGCCCGCCAGCCCAGCTCTCCAGGCGTGCAGGATTGTGCTTTCCGTTGCCGTCTCGCTATTCAGCTTGTGGTTTGGGCGGCAGGTGATCCACCATAAGTTTCTGCGGGACTTCCTTGGGCTCCAGATGTTTTCTGAGAACAATGGGACGCTCCTTGTGATGTTCTTGACGTGGGTGGCTTTTTTCGAGTACTGTCTGCCGTACCCGATCAACCTGATCGAGACTGGCACGATTGAAGCCCCTATAACCGAAGATTCCAGCCTGACGTATGCCACGTGGGGGAAGATTTGGCAGAGCACCGCGGCGATCGCGGACATGGTCTCCATAATCACGATCACGGACGTTGTGCTGCAAGACCGTGTCGTGTGGCCGCATTTTGGGGTTGGGCTGAAGCGGCTGTGGAATGATGCTTGCGGCGGGTGGGTTCGCGTTCTTGTGGCCTGGTTCGGGTTTCTGGTGGCACTGCCTCTGATCATCTACGGTCTTCATGCTTCGGAGCACACCAACGGCATATACTCTGCCAGTAAGGCCGACTCCGCCACATCGGCGACCACGCAGGCAGCGCGAGTTGGTATCGCAGCTCTGCTTACCATAGTTGACATCACAACCTGTCTGCAGGATTGGGAATTCCCTTCGTTCAATACCCCGATCGATTTCAAGGTCACTGGCACTTTCTTGTCGGAGCTGGATTGCCCATTTGTTGCTAATCTCTTGAGGCCGCTCTCGTCGATCACTTGTATTGCGGAGGACTTCTGGGACGTCTTCCATTTCAGAATGAGCGGGAAGTGGATCGCCCTCCTACCTGCCTTTGGTGCCTTGGGCTGTGATTGGTGGTACACGTGCGTCACGATCTTCGGGTACGAGCCCGCGAATTTGGGACAGTACGAGCGACCTGACGATTGTGCAATCTTCGTCATCAGGGACCAGGCGATCCTTGACGCCGCATATGACGGGGGAGAGTTGATCGCCGAACAGGCGGACCTCGTCTCTTGGAACGCGCGCCAGGGAGCCCTCTCCGATGTGCTCATACATTCCCGGTACTGCAACGAGGATCCTTTGCTGAGCTACCTGTTTGTTGTTGCCACCATCGCTGCAGGTACTGCCTTCGCTGTCCTCATCCTTCGGGCGGAGCTTTACTGGGACAGGTATGCAGAGCGGCACGTCGGCGACGAAGGGCTGATGACCAGGATCGAGCTGAGGCTGCAGCAGGCTCAGGAAATTGCAGCCGGGTCAGAGTCCCAGGAAGGTCCACTTCTGGATTCGGCCGGGTCCCAGTCCCAGTCGAGCCGCAGCAAGATCTTCTAGGCTCAAGTCGCCCGCTGGCGAGGCAGTGCGTGCTGCTTGTTTCAAGAGCGGACCTGAGACTTGTCTCCCCTTCCTGACACGCCCTCCCCTGCTTGACCGCACGTGCTCCGCCCGCAGGCGTGACAGCGCGAGCGAATCTTGTTTCAGGACATTGCGCTGGAGAGCCTACGCAAAGCCGTGACGCTCGCTTGGCCCCAGTCCATATCCAGCGTCCCTGGATGCAAAGAGTGTCATTATCCTTCGCTTTTGCATCTCGGTCTCTTTCTCAGCGTGCCGCCGCAAAAGGTCCATCAATATAAGCCATCTCTCGCAGGACAGCCTGTCTACGTGGCTTGACGTCTCTGTCTCACTTGTGAGCACGGCGTTTGAGGTAGTTCACTGGCTTCACGCTTGCGTCGCCGAGCTTGTCATCGTGCCGCTGTGTCGGCGCTCCCGCTTGCCATCCATACACACATACACACGTACACATTCATATACATATGCATGTACATGCACATATACATTTACACATACACATGCACATATACATATATGGGGGTTTCCGTCCCCGGGGCCCCGCAGGCCCCCCCCCCTTGTACATAGGTAGTGCCCCCCTCCCAGGAGCCCCCCGGGAGCCGCCCCGAGGCTCCGAGCAGCCTTAAATCCGCCCAAGATTGCCTACAGATGGCCAAAGAGCTCTCCAAGACGCACTCAGAGGGCCCCAATAGCGCTCGAAGACGGCCCAAGACGGCCCAAGACGGCCCAAGACGCTTCCAAGACGCCCCAAGAGGCTTCCAAGAGCACCCCCAAGAGAACCCGAAGAAGCAACATTCATTGTTTTTTTATGGTTTTTGAAGGATTTGGCCGTTCTCGATATTTTGGCGTCCCGACGTTCCAAGATGGCCCAAGAGCCCCCCAAAACCGTCCCAAGACGGCCCGAGAGACCCCCAGGAGGGCTCCAAGACGGCCCAAGAGGGCACCAAGATGGACTAAGAGGCCCCGGGGACGGCCCAAGAGGGCCCCAGGACGGCCCCAAGAGTGGGCCCAGAGGAGAAACCTGAACGGACATTGCGAGCTTTTGGTTCCAAGAGGCTCCCAGGAAGCCCCCAAGAGGCCCCCAGGAGGCTCTCAAGAGGCCCCCAGAGGCCCCTAAGAGCCCCCAAAAGGGCCCCGAGAGGTCCTGAAGAAGCCACCCAAGAGGCCCCCAAGAGGCCCCTGAACTGCCCCTGCAGAGGCCCCCGAGACCCTTCCGAAGAGGCGGGATAGGCCCAAGGCTATTTGATAGCTGGCATGCGCGCGGCGTCAGGACTTTCGATGCTGCGCGCCACTTCGACAAACTCCCAGGGAGCGGCCGGTGATGCGCCGCCGGCGTCCTCGACCCCTCGTCCTTCCTCATCTTCTCCAAGGTGACCCGAGTCGCTCCCCTGGCCGCGAAAAGCGGTCAAGGGGGAGTGACCGCGATGGGCGTGAGAGGTTGAACCTTCCGCTCCCTCTCTCTTCCTCATCTTCTCCAGGGTGACCCGAGTCGCTCCCCTGGCCGCGAAAAGCGGTGAAGGGGGAGTGACCGGGATGGGCGTGAGAGGTTGAACCTTCCACTCCCTCTTTGTTCCTCATCTTCTCAGGGTGACCCGAGTCGCTCCCCTGGCCGCGAAAAGCGGTGAAGGGGGAGTGACTGGGGCGGGCGTGAGAGGTTGAACCTTCCAATCCCTCTTCCTTCCTCATCTTCTCCAGGGTGACCCGAGTCGCTCCCATGGCCGCGAAAAGCGGTCAAGGGGGAGTGACCGGGGCGGGCGTGAAAGGTTGAACCGTCCGTCTTCCTTCCTCATCTTCAGCTGGGTGACCCGAGTCGCTCCCATGGCCGCGAAAAGCGGTCAAGGGGGAGTGACCGGGGCGGGCGTGAAAGGTTGAACTCCGGGGTGACCCGAGTCGCTCCCCCGGCCGCGAAAAGCCCTCTTTCTTCCTCATCTTCTCCGGGGTGACCCGAGTCGCTCCCCCGGCCGCGAAAAGCGGTGAAGGGGGAGTTGACGGGGCGGGCGTGAAAGGTTGAACCCTCCACTCCGTCTTCCTTCCTCATCTTCAGCTGGGTGACCCGAGTCGCTCCCCCGGCCGCGAAAAGCGGTGAAGGGGGAGTGGCCGGGGCGGGCGTGAAAGGTTGAACCCTCCAATCCTTCTTTCTTCCTCATTTTCTGCTGGGTGACCCGAGTCGCTCCCATGGCCGCGAAAAGCGGTCAAGGGGGAGTGACCGGGGCGGGCGTGAAAGGTTGAACCCTCCACTCCTTCTTCCTTCCTCATCTTCTCCAGGGTGACCCGAGTCGCTCCCCCGGCCGCGAAAAGCGGTCAAGGGGGAGTGACCGGGGCGGGCGTGAAAGGTTGAACCCTCCAATCTTCCTCAGTCTTCTCCGTTGGGTGACCCGAGTCGCTCCCCCGGCCGCGAAAAGCGGTCAAGGGGGAGTTGACGGGGCGGGCGTGAAAGGTTGAACCCTCCACTCCGTCTTCCTTCCTCATCTTCAGCTGGGTGACCCGAGTCGCTCCCCCGGCCGCGAAAAGCGGTGAAGGGGGAGTGGCCGGGGCGGGCGTGAAAGGTTGAGTGGCCGGGGCGGGCGTGAAAGGTTGAACCCTCCAATCTTTCTTCCTCATCTTCTCCAGGGTGACCCGAGTCGCTCCCCGGCCGCGAAAAGCGGTGAAGGGGGAGTGACCGGGGCGGGCGTGAAAGGTTGAACCCTCCACTCCTTCTTCCTTCCTCATCTTCTCCAGGGTGACCCGAGTCGCTCCCCCGGCCGCGAAAAGCGGTCAAGGGGGAGTGACCGGGGCGGGCGTGAAAGGTTGAACCGTCCACTCCGTCTTCCTTCCTCATCTTCAGCTGGGTGACCCGAGTCGCTCCCATGGCCGCGAAAAGCGGTCAAGGGGGAGTGACCGGGGCGGGCGTGAAAGGTTGAACCGTCCACTCCGTCTTCCTTCCTCATCTTCAGCTGGGTGACCCGAGTCGCTCCCATGGCCGCGAAAAGCGGTCAAGGGGGAGTGACCGGGGCGGGCGTGAAAGGTTGAACCGTCCACTCCGTCTTCCTTCCTCATCTTCAGCTGGGTGACCCGAGTCGCTCCCATGGCCGCGAAAAGCGGTCAAGGGGGAGTGACCGGGGCGGGCGTGAAAGGTTGAACCGTCCACTCCGTCTTCCTTCCTCATCTTCAGCTGGGTGACCCGAGTCGCTCCCATGGCCGCGAAATGCGGTTCGAAAGGGGGCTCGGGGGACGATCAAGGTTGAAAGGCGTTGTTCTCCCAAGGCGTTCTCTGGCCGCGAGACGTGGTCAAGGGGGGGCCCGGGGAACGCTCGAGATTGAAGCCGTGTTTTCCCGAGGGGCCCCCTGGCTGCGAGCCGCGGTCAAGGGGGGCGCTTGGGGGGGGGTGCTCAAGGTTGGGGGATTGTTTTCCCGAGGCGCCCCCCCTGGCCGCGAAACGCGGTCAAGCGACACTGCATCATTGAGCCTGGCCCCTCCTGCACGCGTGGTTCCTCTCCTCAGTGCGCCTGCTCCATTGCAGCCGCACGCCTGAGCCATAGCAACCTCATATGCATATGTAAACCATTGCATACCGATGCCTGCCAAATTACTCGCCTATGTCTGCGCCACTTCATCCGGACGGTCACGAATCATTTCGCAATGGTTTGTTACGCTTTGGACAGTGTGTCATCACGCCTGTGCCAGTCGATCATATGTCCCAGGAACATTCGAGTCATCGTGCATGGCTCCGCCGCTTTGCATCACGGCCATCGTACCATGGTCCCGAACCTGTTGTACTATTCCGACGTGCCGCCTGCGTCATGACTCCTGCGCCGTCGGCATGAATCTTTCACCCGCAGTACCTGGATGTTTGCATCCTCGCGATTACTTTCCTTGCACCCTCACGCCAGTGCCACTCGATCAGGGGTCGCATGAACCATCGTATCGTCGTGCATGGCCCGAGCGCCCCCCGTCAAACCAATCGTATCATTGTGCCTCACCGGATGTCGTATTTCGACTTGGCCTGTGCATCTTCGCACATGCGCCGTGCAATGAACTATTGACCCACAACGCCTGGACCTGCGCATCTTCACGATTACCCTCCTGTAGCAGCACGTCTGTGCACAACCCCGATTCTGCTCCCTGGCCATTGTGTTTTCCAACGCTGTTCCTTTTTTTCATCATCGCGTGCATGACCACGACCTGACCACGTTGCCACCAAGCATGTTGCCACGTGCCATGTCATTCCACATTCGGTTGAAGTCGCGCATTGCTTCCCGTTTCTTCGGGGCGCAGTGTTTGGATGGGGCATCATGATCGTTTCCGTTTGCATTCCCCCCCCCCAAATTGTCCACTCCCCGATGCTTGTCCCGAATCGGGACAACCATCGGGACAACCATCGGGACAACCATCGGGAAAACCATCGGGGTCCTGCACTTCGCTTACTGCCCCACTACATTTACGTATCTCTTACCCGTACTCGTAGGCAGGACCCGTGCACCGGCGGCCAAAAAGGGCCACACTTTGTTGTGACGTGCTTGGGCTCTCACCCCACGGGGATGGCCCGCGAACACGCCCGGGTGAATTAATACATCCTCTGGCCTGCTTGCTCTGCTGTGCGGTCATGGGCAATATCCTGGTCAATCTCCCGCCAAAACATCACTATAGCCGAGCAAGCTGGGAGGACAAATCCTGCCCCCTTCAACAATTTGTTAAATGGGCATGACATTGCGGAAAGTTTGCAATGGCTTGGTACCCGGTACCTCGCCTCGACGGAGCTTCCTCAACTCCGATGAGAAGGTTCCCAAATTAGGTTTGAATAGCCTGCGGTTTCGTACACTGGACGTGAAGCCCCCGCAGCCAGAACAAAATGCAATCGGCAGCTCCGGGCCTACAATCCAGCCAGGCGATGGCCGTTTCCATAGGCCTCACGGGGGTCCTCATTTGGGCTTCGAGTGTCCCCAGTGTCCCAGATGGGACCAAAATGCTCCGAGATGTCCCAATCTGATCCCCTGCCTGCTCGACAAGAGCCCAGGAACGCCCTCACTACCAACCCCGACGGATCTCCGAATCACCAGCGCATCCCCAATTGGCAATTTGCGATGGGCGCGGCTAGAACCTAAGCGCGCGCGAAGCGCGCGCGTGGTTCTATGTATGTATGTATGTATGTATGTATGTATGCATGCATGCATGCATGCATGCATGCATGCATGCATGCATGCATGTATGTATGTATGTATGTATGTATGTATGTATGTATGTATGTATGTATGTATGTATGTATGTATGTATGTATGTATGTATGTATGTATGTATGTATGTATGTGTGTATGTGTGTATGTATGTATGTGTATATATATGTATGCGTGCACAGAGAAGGGGGGGAGTCCGGCGCCCTGGCCTGTACCCTCCATGGGGGGACCGGGTGGTCGGGGGGCGTCGTCGGGGGCCAGGAGGGCGCCCTGAATGCGCCCAGGACGCCGCGGGGCTAGCCCAAAACAGAACGACCCAGGAGAACCCCAAGACGGCATACGAATACCCCAGGACTTCCGAAAACAGGCTCAGGACAACCCAACATGCTTCAAAGACGCCCCAAGAGCTTCCCAAGAGGACCCCGTAGCCATTTCGGCTCAAGCCAGTTTAGGCTCAAGATTCCGAGGGGCCGTCGCCGGCCTTCCAGGGTTCCCCTCGGCCGTCTCTCGTTCAGGACCTCTCAGCTATGCGCATCTGCAGACTGCATGATGCACCTACGCACGTCTCGCACCCTCGGCGCGCTGCTCCTGCCGCTGATAGCGCGCGGCGCCCCGAGCGCCAGGTCGCCTGCGAGCGGGGCGCTGGCCCGCCCGAGGCTGGAGGGCTCGGCGAACGGTCACCCTCGAGAGCCACAGGCCGAGCTCGGGAGGGGCCAGGCCACCAGGGCGCGCAGTTGCTCAAGCTCTTGGCGAGTGATGGGGCCGCCTGGGACGCTTTCGGTAAATCGGTGGCCGTGAGCTCCGACGGGGCCCGCGTGGTGGTGGGGGCCCACTACTGCTATGACGATGACGACAGATCATATGGATCCGGCTCCGTGTACGTGCTCGACGGGGCCATTGGCGAGAGGTTGCTCAAGCTTGTGGCGAGTGATAGGGCCGAGGGCGCCTGGTTCGGTAGATCGGTGGCCGTGAGCTCCGACGGGGCCGTCGTGGTGGTGGGGGCCTACTATGACGACGACGAGGGCAGCCAGTCTGGCTCCGCGTACGTGTTCGAAGTCATCATCTACGGCTACTACGGCTACTACTACGCCGAGACGACCACCAAGACGGCCACGACGACCACCGAGACGGCCAGGAGTTCCGCGACGTCAAGCACTACTACCACCACCAAGACAGCCACCGAGACAACAACCGAGACGACCACCGAGACGACCACCAAAACGGCCACGACGACCACCGATACGGGTACGAGTCCGGCCACGTCAAACACCACAGCCACCACCGAGCCATCGGCGGAGGAGCAGCAATATTGCAGGGGATTAATTACAGTCTTCGCTGGTGTCTTGATCTTGTTCTTTGTGTTCTTTGTCTGCGGCGTCGCGCTGGGCTGCCTGATGGGGCGGATGTCCTGGCAGTGGCAGGGGCCCAACACCGGAGCGCGGCATTCACGACGCGGAGGTTGAGACCAACTGACGCGGAGATCGATGAGCACGAGTCGGATCACCGTATTTAGCACGACGCGGAGGTTGAGGCCTTCCTCTCGTCTCCCTCCCTCCTCCTCGCCCCCTGACGCGCCGCGCAGCTATCCCTCGCAGTACGTTCGAGCAACGGGTACAACGATGGCCCGCGAGGCACTTCGCTATACTCTAGTATATATATATATATATATATATTCACAGCTGTATACATATATATATATATATATATATATATATATGTGTATACACATATATATATATATATATGCGTGTACACACCTGTTCATCTACACATGCACGTATAACTATCCATGTCCATATACATACGCATGCGCATGCACATTTGCAGACACATGCACATATACGTAGACACATGTACATGGGCACATAAACAAACATATACGTACATATACATCTACGTATGCATAGACACATACCCATACATAAGCATCTACATATGCATATACAGATATGCATACACATGTACAATCCACACATACATGCACATTTTCTTGCAACTGTGCATATACATATTCAGCACATATATGTGTACATGCACACATCTTGTTACATATCCATACACTATACGTGTACACATAGACACGTACGCATATACGCACATACATACGCGCATACACACATACATGTATGCATACATACATGCACACTGCATGTATACATACGTACTCACACCCATACATCCACACATAAGTGCATACATCTGTTTATATTTTCCACATATGTATACCATCATATAGTTGCATGCGTGCGTATATGCATATTTATATACGTATATATGAATGGTTTCATACATATATGTTTCTTTACACAAACAAACACACAGGCATGCACACACATATACATACATATACACATGCATACATGTATACATGCATACAAACATGCATACTACAACCCCTCATACATACAGCACGCACGTGCATATATATTTATATATGTATGTATGTATGTATGTATGTATGTATGTATGTATGTATGTATGTATGTATGTATGTATGTATGTATGTATGTATGTATGTATGTATGTGTGTGTATATATATATATATATGTCGGCGGTGCGCCGTGGCACGACCCCCCCCCCCCAGCACTACCGGGGGGTTTCGTGCACTACCGGGGGGTTTCGTGCAGCCCGCACCGGGTGCCGCCAGCGGCTTAGAACACGCCCCCCTTGCCGCTTTACCGGGGGGGTTCGTGCAGGCCGCACTGCGTCTACCTGGGCTCCCCCCCCCCCTGTGGGAGTGGGGGGGTGGGAGTGGGGGGTGGGTTGGGGGGGGGGCAGGGGGGCGGTTGGGAAGGGTGGCTCCCTGTCGAAGTGTGGCGTGTGCTCGCCTTGTGTTCTCTATTCGCGTCTGCTCGCCTTTGTTCCGCCGCAGCCTCTCGTATTGTGGCTCGTGGCCACAATACGAGAGGCTGCGGCGCAACTCCCGAGAGCCGCTGTGGGGGGTCGACGGCACGGCCGCGTAGAGAAGAACAGTGCCGCCGTGTTCCGGCACGGCCCTGGGATGCAATGCCGCCGCCGTGTTCCGGCCCGTCCGATTCGCGCGTCGGGGCTGGGTTTCGCGCGTGCTGGGAGCGCGCCGCTTACGGAGGGGTTGCGTCCTTACCGGGGGGTTTCGTGCAGCCTACCAGAGGAGGTCGTGTTTACCGGGGGGTTTCGTGCAGGCTCGCACCGGGAATGGCGCCAGCTCGAACCCCCCCAGGAGAGATTACCGGGGGGGGGGTTTCGCTCCGCACCGGGCACCGCCGACATATATATATATATATATATATATATATATATATATATATATATATATATATAATGTGTAGTCAGATCTTTTTCACAAGCTGGGGGGTGCCCAAAACCGGACCCCCAGGACCCAGGATTTTGCCAAAGGTCCCCCAGCTCGTCCTCGTCCTGGACCTCCCAGGGCGCTTGGCCGGACAGAGCGGTGATCAGAGAGGCCGAAGAGAGACCCAAGACAGCGCAAGAGCGCTCCAAGAAGGACTCAGATGACCTCCAGAGGCCCCCAAGACGGCCGAGGAGGTCCTGAACAAAACTCCCAGAACGCAAAAAACGGAGAATCGTGCATTTTCAGGAAATTCGCTGCGTGGGTCTTGGCAGCGTCCAAACGAGCCAAAACGGCTTCCAGTATCGCCCCAAGACGGCCCAAGAGACCCCCAAGAGGCCCAGATGGCCCCAGGACTGCCTAAGGGAGTCCCAAATTAGCCAAAAAGAGGCCCAACAGGCCCTCACAAGGCCCCCAAGACAAGCCCAAGAAGGCCATGGGAGGCCCCTGCAAAGGAGGGCCCACGTGGCCCCCATAGAGTCCCTAGAGGGGGCCCAAGCTCCCCGAAACGGCCTAGGACGGCTCCAGGACGGCTCGAGAGGGCCCCAAGCCGGCCCAGCAGGGCTCCAACAAGGCCCACGCGGCGTTGTCCACCAAACTGACTCGACTCCCGGGTTCGCAACCAATCTGTTGCGAGCCTGGGGTTCGGTGCATTCCCCAAGGATGTTCCGTGCCAGACCCGGGCCGGTGCCAGCCCGGGCCAGGTCTGGACCAGATCGGGCCGGGTCCATGTTCAGGGCCAGCCCAGCGCAATTTCGTACAGAAAAATATGTTTGGGGAGGCTTTTTTCCCAACCATCCTGTGGTGTTGGGTCCTCGTTTTGAAGAGACGGTCCCCGCGTTCCTTTCTTCCTTCCTTCATTCCTTCCTTCCTCCTCCCTCCTCCCTCCTCCTCCTCCCCCTCCTCCTTCCTCCTTGCGTTTCACCCACCCAATACAGCGCTTCGTGGCCCCATAGGGGACTCCACCGGAGGCCCCAGTGGGACCGCCCGCATGCGTCATCCACCACCCAGTACAGCGTTTCGTGGCCCCATAGAAAGCTCCACCGAAGGCTCCAATGGGACCGCCCGCGTGCGTCATCCACAGCGCTTCGTGGCCCCATAGGGAGCTCCACCGACGGCCCCAGTGGGACCGCCCGCATGCGTCATCCACCACCCAGTACAGCGTTTCGTGGCTCCATAGAGGAGCTCCACCGAAGGCCCCAGTGGGACAGGCCGCGTGCTTCATCCACCACCCAGTACAGCGTTTTGTGGCCCCCTAGGGAACTCCACCGAAGGCCCCAGCTGGACCGCTCGCATGCGTCATCCACCGCCCAGTACAGCGTTTCGTGATCCCATAGGGAGCTCCACCGAAGGCTCCAGTGGGACCGCCCGCGTGCGTCATCCACCACCCAGTACAGCGTTTCGTGGCCCCATAGAGGGCTCCACCAAAGGCCCCAGTGGGACCGGCCGCATGCGTCATCCACCACCCAGTACAGCAGCGGTTCGTGGCCCCCTAGAGGGCTCCACCGAAGGCCCCAGTGGGACCACCCGCATGCGTCATCCACCACCCAGTACAGCGTTTCGTGTCCCTACAGGGGGCTCCACCTAAGGTCTCCGTGGCGGAACTCGCATGGCGGCCCAGTGGCGCAGTTCGCATGGCGGCGATTTTGATTTTCGGAGGTTTTTCGTCGTATTTGACGTCTTGAGGTCGCTTTCGGGCCGCGCATCCCGGGCGGGAGCCAGCCTGCTAGCTCTCTCTGCTCCGCGCAGCGGACGACCCGCGCGCGTTGCCGGGACCCCTTCGGGGCGACCAGCGCGCGTCGCGGGGGCTCCGTGCGGCGCCGCGCCCGCAGCCTTGGACGCGGGCGTGCACGGGCAAAGAGGGGGAAGAAGAACGGGAAGGAAACGGGCGCGATCCCCGTGAGAGGCGTGCCGACATGGGCGTCGACATTTATGCACGTAGACTCACGCGCGCGCAGACTCATCCACAATCAGACTCACTCGCTCTCAGCCTCTCGCACACATACCTATCGTCTTCGCTCGCGTTGATGGTTGGGTCCTTCGCCATGTTCATTTTTGGCCTGGACCCTGCCCCGAACAGATAACCTCCCCAAGCGCATTTTCTTTTGTTCCGTGCAGGGACACCTGTCCCCAGCCAGCCCAGCCGGTCCCCTGGCCGGCCGTCTCCGGCCGGCTGGGGTCACCTCCTGTCCCCGGCCGGCCGGGGACACTCCCCAGCTGGCCAGAGACACTTGCGCCGGGCGCAGCCAGCATGCGGCCTTGGCCCGCGGCCGCCCAGCGCCCGAAAAGGGCGCGCGTTTCTCGGGCCAGACGAATGGGGGGTGCGAAATCTGCTGCGCGTAGCTGATTTCGGCCCCGCCGCCAGGCCATTCCTCGATGCATGAGCGCCCCCCCGGCGCCAGAAGGCGCCAGGAAAACAAGCCTCGTGAGCTGATTCTGTACCTTTTCGTCCCCCCCAGTGCCTGCGCGTGCGTGCGTGCGTGCGCGGGCGTGCTTTTGATTGTGTGTGTGTGTGTGTGCGTGCGTGTGCTTCGCCAGGCCCGCGTGGTTGACCCTCCATCTCAGGTGATCCGAGGCTGTTTTTCCCAGCGGCCTTGGAAGGCCATCGGAAGCGAAAAAGGCCGACAACATTGAATCTCCGGAGGTGTTTGAAGTTTTTGGCATCTTGGCAGCCTCCTTTGGAAAGCTTCGTCGCCACTTGGTACATTCTTGGAGCGGTCTCGGGGCATCTTGGAGCATCTTGGAAGCCATTTTGAAGCACCTTGGGCTATCTTGAGCCATCTTGGAGGCCATCGTGGGCTCTCCGAGGCGCTCTTAGGGCCATCTTGGACCATCTTGGACGTTCCAACCCCTCGCCGACTTCCCTGTCCGGGTCCGAGAAAAAACTCGTTCCCCGGTTGAACGACTCGTTCACCGGTTAAACGACCCGTTCCCCGGCGGAAGTTCGAAGCGTTTTCTCCGTACATGGATCTTCTGAGAGGTGGCGGCCGCCAAAAGGTTTCTGGCGGCCCCTGAGAGGGTTCTTGGCGGCCCCTGAGAGGGTTCTTGGCGGTCCCTGAAAGGGTAACTGGCGGCCCCCAAACAACGTTCTTGGCGGCCCCCAAGTGGGAGCTCCTTGGCTGCCCCCAAAAAGGTTCTTGGCGGCCCCCACGAAGGTTCTTGGCGGCCCCCACGAAAGTTCTTGGCGGCCCTGAGAGGGTTCTCGGCGGCCCCATGAGAGGGTTCTTGGCGGCGCTTGAGAGGTTTCTCAGCGGCCCCTGAGAGGGTTCTCGGCGGCCCCTGAGAGGGTTCTTGGCGGCCCCTGAGAGAGTTCTTGGCTGCCC